ACGTCAATGGTAGCTTGATGGGGATTGCGTTGATTCTGTAAATTACTTTGGGCAGTATAGCCATTTTCACGATATTGATTCTTCCTAACCATGAACATGGAATGTTTCTCCATCTGTTTGTGTCCTCTCTTATTTCGTTGAGCAGTGGTTTGTAGTTTTCCTTGAAGAGGTCCCTTACATTCTTTGTAAGTTGTATTCCTAGGTATTTTATTGTTTTTGTAGCAATTGTGAATGGCAGTTCATTCTTGATTTGGCTTTCTTTAAGTCTGTTATTGGTGTAGATGAATGCTTGTGATTTTTGCACATTGATTTTATATCCTGAGACTTTGCTGAAGTTGCTTATCAGTTTCAGAAGTTCTTGAGCTGAGATGATGGGGTCTTCTAGATATACAATCATGTCATCTGCAGATAGAGACAATTTGGCTTCCTCCTTTCCTATTTGAATACCCTTTCTTTCTTTTTCTTGCCTGATTGCTCTGGCAAGAACTTCCAGTACTATATTGAATAGGAGTGGTGAGAGAGGGCATCCTTGTCTAGTGCCAGATTTCAAAGGGAATGCTTCCAGTTTTTATGATATTGTGTCCATTTAGTATGATATTGGCTATTGGTTTGTTGTAAATAGCTTTTATTACTTTGAGATATGTTCCATCAATACCAAGTTTATTGAGGGTTTTTAGCATAAAAGGCTGTTGAATTTTGTCAAATACCTTCTCTGCATCTATTGAGATAATCATGTGGTTTTTGTTTTTGGTTCTGTTTATGTGGTGAATTACGTTTATAGACTTGCGTATGTTGAACCAGCCTTGCATCCCTGGGATGAATCCTACTTGATCACGATGGATAAGTTTTTTGATGTGTTGTTGCAGTCGGTTTGCCAGTATTTTATTGAAGATTTTTGGGTCTATGTTCATCATGGATATTGGCCTGAAGTTTTCTTTTCTTGTTGAGTCTCTGCCGGGTTTTGGTATCAGGATGATGTTGGTCTCATAAAATGATTTGGGAAGGATTCCCTCTTTTTGGATTATTTGGAATAGTTTCAGAAGGAATGGCACCAGCTCCTCTTTGTGTGTCTGGTAGAATTCGGCTGTGAACCCGTCTGGACCTGGGCTTTTTTTGTGTGGTAGGCTCTTAATTGCTGCCTCGACTTCAGACCTTGTTATTGGTCTGTTCATAGTTTCAGCTTCCTTTTGGTTTAGACTTGGGAGGACACAGATGTCTAGGAATTTATCCATTTCTTCCAGGTTTACTAGTTTATGTCCATAGAGTTGTTTGTAGTATTCTCTGATGATGGTTTAAATTTCTGTGGAATCTGTGGTGATTTCCCCTTTATCGTTTTTTATTGCATCTATTTGGTTGTTCTCTCTCTTCTTTTTTATCAGTCTGGCTAGTGGTCTGTCTATTTTGTTGATCTTTTCAAAAAACCAGCTCTTGGATTTATTGATTTTTTGAAGGGATTTTGTGTCTCTATCTCCTTTATTTCTGCTCTGATCTTAGTTATTTCTTGCATTTTGCTAGGTTTTGAGTTTTTTTATCTTGCTCCTCTAGCTCCTTCAATTTTGATGATAGGGTGTCCATTTTGAATCTCTCCACTCTTCTCATGTGGGCACTTATTGCTATATATTTTCCTCTAGAGACTGCTTTAAATGTGTCCCAGAGATTCTGGTATGTTATGTCTTCGTTCTCGTTGGTTTTGAAGAACTTCTTTATTTCTGCCTTCATTTCATTGTTTATCCAATCAACATTCAAGAGCCAGTTGTTCAGTTTCCATGGTGCTGTGCGGTTCTGAGTTAGTTTCTGAATTCTGAATTCTAACTTGATTGCACTGTGGTCTGAGAAATTGTTATGATTTCAGTTGTTTTTCATTTGCTGAGGAGTGCTTTACTTCCAATTATGTGGTCAATTTTAGAGTAGGTGTGATGTGGTGCTGAGAAGAATGTATATTCTGTGGATTTGGGGTGGAGAGTTCTGTAAATGTCTATCAGGTTTGCTTGTTCCAGGTCTGAGTTCAAGCCCAGGATATCCTTGTTAATTTTCTGTCTGGTTGATCTGTCGAATATTGACAGTGGAGTGTTAAAGTCTCCCACTATTATTGTGTGGGTGTCTAAGTCTCTTTGTAAGTCATTAAGAACTTGCCTTACATATCTGGGTGCTCCTGTATTGAGTCCATATATATTTAAGATCGTTAGCTCTTCTTGTTGTATCAATCCTTTTACCATTATGTAATGACCTTCTTTGTCTCTTTTGATCTTTGTTGCTTTAAAGTCTATTTTATCAGAGACAAGAATTGCAACTCCTGCTTTTTTTTGCTCTCCATTTGCTTGGTAAATCTTCCTCCATCCCTTTATTTTGAGCCTTTATGTATCCTTGCATGTGAGATAGGTTTCCTGGATACAGCACACTGATGGGTTTTGGCTTTTTATCCAATTTGCCAGTCTGTGTCTTTTGATTGGTGCATTTAGCCCATTTACATTTAGGGTTAATATTGTTATGTGTGAATTTGATACTGCCATTTTGATGCTAGCTGGCTGTTTTGCCTGTTAGTTGATGCAGATTCTTCTTTTTGTTGATACTCTTTAGCATTTGGTATGTTTTTAGAATGGCTGGTACTGGTTGTTCCTTTCTATGTGTAGTGCCTCTTTCAGGGGCTCTTGTAAAGCAGGCCTGGTGGTGACAAAATCTCTGAGTACTTGCTTGTTTGCAAAGGATTTTATTTTTCCTTCAGTTATGAAGCTCAGTTTGGCTGGATATGAGATTCTGGGTTGAAAGTTCTTTTCTTTAAGGATGTTGAATATTGGCCTCCACTCTCTTCTGGCTTGTAGAGTTTCTGCTGAGAGATCTGCTGTGAGTCTGATGGGCTTCCCTTTGTGGGTGACCCGACCTTTCTCTCTGGCTGCTCTTATTATTTTCTTCTTCATTTCAACCCTGGTGAATCTGATGATTATGTGCCTTGGGGTTGCTCTTCTTTCGGAATATCTTTGTGGTGTTCTCTGTATTTCCTGGACTTGAATATTGGCCTGCCTTGCTAGGTTGGGGAAATTTTTCTAGATAATATCCTGAGGAGTATTTTCCAGCTTGTATTCATTCTCTTCGTCATATTCTGGTACACCTACCAAATGTAGGTTAGGTCTCTTCACATAGTCCCACATTTCTTGGAGACTTTGTTCATTCCTTTTTGCACTTTTTTCTCTAATGTTGGTTTCTCATTTAATTTCATTGAGTTGATCTTCGACTTCTGATATTCTTTCTTCTGCTTGGTCAATTCGGCTGTTGAACCTTGTGCATGCTTCACAAAGTTCTCGTGTTGTGTTTTTCAGCTCCTTCAATTCATTCATATTCCTCTCTAAGTTGTCCATTCTTATTATCATTTCCTCGAATCTTTTTTCAAATTTTCTTTTAAGGTTCTTAGTTTCTTTGCATTGATTTAGAACATGTTCTTTTAGCTCACGGAAGTTTCTCATTATCCACCTTCTGAAGTCTGATTCAGTCATTTCATCACACTTATTCTCCATCCAGCTTTGTTCCCTTGCTGGTGAGGAGCTTTGTTCCTTTGTAGGAGGCAAGGTGTTTTGGTTTCGAGTGTTTTCCTCCTTTTCGCACTGGTTTCTTCCCATCTTTGTGGATTTATCCAGCTGTCGTCTGAGTAGTTGCAGGCTTTTTATTTGGGTCTCTGAGTGTACACCTAGATTGTAGATTGTTGATGCTGAAGTATTTCTGTTACTTAGTTTTCCTTCTAACAGTTCAGCCCCTCTGCTGTATGACTGCTGAGGTCCACTCCAGTCCCTGCTGCTGTTGGCTCTGCCCTGTTGGCGAAGTCTCTCTGTTATGGTGGGTTGCCTTGGCAACAGCAGGCTGTGTCAGCAATGGGCGTGTACCTCAGTAGGGGCGAAATGCCTCGGTAGTGGCGGATGCCCCTCCCCCATGGAGCTGCACAGTCCTGTATTCAGCTGGGCCCACAGTGAAACTCTCAACCCCGAGCATTTCGAATCACCGTTTTGTTTGTCCCTGTGGGGGTGGGTCCTGCCGAGCCTGATCACCTGGCTCCCTGCCTTAGAGCCCTTTCTTCCTCTTCTTTTTTCTTTTTTTTTTAAGTTGAACGGATGACTCTCTCTCAGGTGTTTTAGTCGCCTGCTGGTAGGGCACTGGGATCTGCATGATTTCCCGTGCAGGGGCCCATTGCACCGGCTCAAATGTTGCTTCCTGGGAATCTCCTTGTCTGGGTCACTGTCCAAGTCCCGTTTAATCAGATGGATATGCTAATCTGCCCTCCCAAATCTCAGATTGCCGGTTTAACAGGGCACCCAGATCAGCACGTTTTGTGCAGGGTGCTGCTGCACTGTGGCGCCAGCCAAAACCGCCCGCACAAGCCGAGAGGGCTGCGCTGGCTTCCTGTGTCTCTCCTACACTTGGGAATTTCCCCGTTCTGTGGGCAACAACGATCCGTCTGGAAATGCAGCTAGGACTCACCCTCTGCACCTTCAATGAGAGCTGCAATCCCGAGTTGTTCCTACTGCACCATCTTTCTCTTCCTTATTTTCTTAATAACATTTTCTTTTCTCTGGCTTACTTAATTGTAAGAATGCAACATATAGTACATATAAAATATATAAAACATGCATTTATGGATTGTTTATGTTATGGTGAAACTTATTCCTGGTCAACGGTAGGCTATTAGTAAAGTTCTGAGGGAATCAAGAGTCATATGTGGATTTTTGACTGCATAGAGGGTTGACATTCCTATCCACTGTGTTGTTTAAGGGTTAACTGATATAATTCTAAAATAAGTATGTCAGTCTACTCTTAGATCATCTCTAAATTTACCTCCAGTTTTATAGTACTTTGCATAACATTTAAGCACAAAATACAACCTCTACTGAAAAAAAACAGACATAAAATGTTCTCACCTCACAGTCTTATATGACAATTTTAAGGTCAAATTCATACAATTCTGTTCTGAAGGTATAAATACAGGAATATAAAGGACTTTTTTCACTTTGGCTTACCTGCTTATGAGCATGATCATAAGAATTAATATGATTGTCAAACTCCTGGTGTTTGTGATACTGCTTGTCACATAATTCACAGTAAAAGTTTGCCTTTACATCTCCCAGAGCCTTTGCTATGGACTTCTCCTTTTCTGCAAAATCCTTTAAGAAAAAAGACAAAAATGTTGATTACACTTTTCTCTAATACCATAACCAGCTCTCATATTAATCAAGTTGGTATTTAACTTAAAGGTATATGATGGAGCACATTATTTTCTGGGAACTCATGGCACTGTGAAAGTAACATTTAGTTTAGCATCGTCCCTAACTTATCAACCAACATATTATAAGTTCTCCTAAAATAGCCCTGTGCTGGAGCCTGGTTTTTACTCATTCTTCCTCTTACTACTCATTTCTAGGTTGTGATTATGCCTGTTACCAAGGACATCACTGGCCATTTCTTCTTTATCTCCTTCATAGGCCTCTGCTTTTCTGATATTATGCCTTAAATGTTTGTGTTCCATTAATTCCATCTTCAGGCAAATGATTTATCTATTTTATATGTTCTCCCAGGAATGCCCCCATTCACATCATAGACAGAGCCTGCTGTATCCATAATATTTAACATTGCCTAAGCCTCGTCCACAAGCATCAGTTACTGCTACACATTACTGAAGGCTTTATGTCCATTTTCTTCAAAATATTCTCCTTAATATTTTTAGTATGCTCCATTTAAAACAGTTTTGGCTACATAATTCTGCTTAAAATCCTCTTTAACACTCTCTTTCATTATAGAATAATAATGGAAAATGTTTACTTAGTATAAACTATGCACCAGGTATATGAATTATCTCATCATTCCTTACAACAACGCTGTTAGGTTCTATTTTTATCTGCATGATAGACGCATCAACCAGTGCTTAGAGAGATCACACTCATGGTCACCAAGTTAACAAGTGGAGACAGAATTTAAATTCAAATAATCTATTCCTAGCTCCTCTGTTAGTAAACAGCTGTAATTTGCTATCTTCCTTAAAAGCCAACCTTCTTAATATACCAAAAAGACTTCTTTCATTGCATATATCATATTTTATCAAACCATTCTTCTATATTTTCCTCTTTAATCATATTACTGGATACATTATATAACATTAAATTATCTGTTTTCCTGTCTATTGTTTCCACCAAGTTTTTGAGAGAAGAAACTAATTTATTCATTTTTCTTACATAGTGCTAAACAACATGTTGTCTAGCCTAGAATAGGTGCTATTTGATATGCATTACATAAATAAATGGATAATCATGGTTTATATATTTATGCCTTATAGCATTCTACAACTTCTGCTATATTATCCCAATACCAAATAAAAAGAGTGATTGGCACACTGAGAATACCAAGTAAATAGGTATAAAGAATGAATGAGCAAACTAAAACATGGATTTTATCTTTGTTTCTCCAAAATAACTACCCTCAGTAGAAAGAAATTGGATCATAAGTGTACATCATAGGCAAATAGCTGACCAGAAAAGAAAGTAAGCAGAAATCATTTAGGCATGTTTTCAGAGTATGGTGAAGTAATGGGGCAATTAATTTAGACATGTGCATAACATAATGATTTAAGCCCAAAAGCAAGAGGGCAAAACAGATGGCAAAAAGCAAGAAGGCATTAACTATAACCATAATGACAGCATTAACTAACAGCACAACTAGACTAAATATAGGGACTGCCTATCTCAGAGTTAAGGTAAGAATTTGGTTACACGCTAGAATAATGGTGGATATAAAAACTACTGGGCAGGCTATATCCAGTAACGAGAATGTAGACTCTGATTTCAAGATCAAAACCCAGGTGCTGAAGGAACTACAACTGCCTGCTGATACAGTCGCTATTGAGAAGTGAGACAGGAGTACAGCATCGATTTAGTAGACTTAGAATCAAGGGAAACCATTACTTCTCCAATTGCTCTGGTTTTTTTTTGTTTGTTTTTTTTTTTTTTTTTTTTTTTTTTTTTAGATGGAGCCTCACTCTGTTACCCAGGCTGGAGTACAGTGGCACAATCTTGGCTCACTGCAACCTCCACTTCCCGGGTTCAAGCAATTCTCCTTTCTCAGCCCCAAGAATAGCTGGGATTATGACATGCACCAGCACGCCCAGCTAAATTTTTTGTATTTTTAGTAGAGACGGGGTTTCTCCATGGTAGGCAGGCTAGTCTTCATCTCCTCATCTCAGGTGATCCACCCGCCTAGGCCTCCCAAAGTTCTGACGTTACAGGCGTTGAGCCACCATGCATGGCCATTGTTATTATTATTTTTTCTATGTCCTTTCCTAGTATAATCACAGGGACTGGATTCAAACTAGGGATTACTTTGGTTTAATCATATTTCTTACTTTTTTATGACAACAGCCTTAGAAAACGGACCATGTTCCTTAGAAATTGGTGAACCCTGCCTTAGTGTTCAAAAACACCTCAGCCTCATGAACTGGGGTAGGGAAACAAATGAAAATTCAGGATAGATTTGAGGCTAAAAATGTATTTTTATATTCTTTCAGATTATGTAAGAGATTTTATGACAATAGTTCAATGTCCAAGAGTGAATGTTTACCCTCATCTAAATATTCTATATTTCTAAAATGTTCTTTAAGTATCGTATTAGATACTTTTTAGCTCAAAATGTTATAATTTTTAGGCAGTTTCACCAAAATTTAACTTTTATACCATTTTTTCCTGAATGCTTATATTTTACAAAGTTGTTAGACTAAACTACATATCACACTTCTTGCTGCATTATTTTTGTGAGGAAATTATGTAGATACCCTTATCTTTCTTCCCTCTAAGGTGTTAATGACAATCTCCAAGGCATATTCTGGTCCCCTCATTAAGAGAGAAAGAGGCCAGTCATGGTGGCTTATGTCTGTAATCTCAGCACTTGTGGAGGATGAGGTGGGCAGATCACCTGAGGTCAGGAGTTCAAGAGCAGCCTGGCCAACATGGCAAAACCCCATCTCTACTAAAAAATGCACTAAGGTGGTGGTACACACCTGTAATTCTAGCTACTTGGCAAGCTGAGGTAGGAGAATTGCTTGAACTTAGGAGGTAGAGGTCGCAGTGAGCTAAGATTACGCCACTGCACTCCAGACTGGGAGACAGAGCAAGACCCTGTCTCAAAAAAATAAAAATAAAAAGAGAGAGAGAGAGAAATAGTGAACAGGTGGAGTATAAATTCTACCACAAAACATATAGATATCGATGGAATTATAACAGTAGAAATCTCTATTACTTTTCAAAAGAGTCAACTGATATTTAGCAATTTCATGTTTTGTGTAAAATCTAATGGCTAGGTAATGGTAAAGTAGAGGCATGCTTTACTGTCTCATGCAACCTCATCCAACCATCCATTCATCCAACTATTTATTAAGTATTAATACATTCAGGTATTTTTTATTTAGCAACTTCTAAATTTCAGTTTCTTACTGGGTCTTATACTCATTAATTTACAGTCTAGTAAAGAGGTAAAAACTATAAGTTGTGATAGAGTTATAATCACAAATTGCTATAGAGGGTTACCTAGATCAGACTAGCTAAAAATAATTAGAAGTTAATTTGTTTCTCACATAGCATTACATATACATTATTAGTACACATTACTTCTTGGCTTTTTGTTGAATGACAGGATACTTTTACTGAAAAATAGGCCCGAAGGTAAATTAAGATGATTTACTTTCTAAAGTAATTATACAATCTTTAAATATATTTAGAGATACAATATAAATATGAAAGGAGTAAAAAATGATGACCTATTCTCAGTATCAGTAAATTTTTAAAATAAAAAAAGAATTACAGATACAAGATTTGATATATAATTCATTCATTGATTTGCTAGTTATTTAAATTTCCATCTTACATTTTGCCTAGAGGAAGAGGTTTTGAAAGCTTATCTGACAGAAAAAAAGAATGTATGACATTAAAGAAAGCTTCTTGTTAGTCATTCTCAATGATTCATTAAAGGATGAAAGTAAATTACAAATGAAATATGACAGTTATCTTAACAAGAGTCATTTTTAAAAAAGGTAATGCCAATGGGCATTTTTTGTTGTAGTTCGGTATGAATTCTGTCGTAGTTAATTACTTTTTATAATTAATGTTTTGGGTGCAAGGAGTGAATATGTACATTTTCACACCAATAATTTTACATTAATGCATAAAACAGGTGTGTTTTTTAAAGTGGGTAAGTATTTTGACTAGAGTAATACATTTAAAAATATGAATGATTTTATCAAATTTTTATCATTGTGATTATTACACATTAACTCCTAGTAAACTACATTGTAAACCAGAAATGTGGCACTTCACAGTTGATAACTCACTTAATCTTCACAATAGCTCTATGAAGTATGTTCCATTATTATCTCATTTAAAGATATGGAAAATAAGGCACAAACATGTTTAGAAACTCATTCACTGGATTAAGCTCAAACCTGCCTGACTTCAGAGGCATGATTCACCATACTCAAGGCTGCTGCAATTTAGCATTTATCCAGATGCCAGATAAGTCCAGGCTATCTCTGCTAACTCATTTGTGGATTCAGGATAGCATGGAGCACTTAACTCCCAGAAAGACTGAGAACTAATTATCATTTTAAAAATTCATAATGCTCTTGAAGCTGAGAGACGGGTATTAGGAAACTGCAAGGTAGTAGTAGTCTTGTTGCATTGGTTGTGAATGCTGTTCTTCATAGCTCCTTATTGGTAATACCAGCTCAGAGCTTTGAGAATTGAATTCATATTCTTTGTGTGAAAGCCCACATTTGACCTTTCACTGTTATGTGTAAGAGATTGCTTTAAGAATTCTAATATTCTCTAACTCATTCTATTATATTAGCCCCAAATGAAATCCTACTTCAAAGAAAGTGAATTTTCCCCTCCTCCAGTCAAGTGGCTGCTGCTGAGTCAGAACACTCTTTTGGCTCCCATCATCTTCCTGCATCTCTGTAACAGCTTGGATAACAGAAAACTTGTTTTAGAGGTTTCATTCACTTATTTATTCTATTTTTATAATAGGAAAATGTATCTTAGTCTTTGAAAGCTGACTAGCTCTAATGTCAGCCTCTATCTTACAGAATTTCAAATGCTAAAGGTTTCAGTTCTCAGAATAAATTAAA